ACATCTTCTTAGAGCCTGTTCAGAGTTTCCCCATTTTGGAAACAGACAAGAGCAGCGTTTTTCCCGGGGCTGCTAGGGATGCCAAGAGGAGATATTTCAGGAACGCCACCCTCTCTTCAACACGATTGGCAGCTTGGCAAAGTAGTCTCTTCCTCCCCTGCTCCCATCCCCACCCCCAGGTCCTGATCTGGGGCTGAGAAAACATGTCCTCTTTTCTATCCTTACTCCTTTGCCCGGGGTGCTCCCTGCTGCCTGGAACTTTGAATCAGTCCATTCACAAAATCTTGCCTTTCGAGGATCGGATCACATGACCCTCCTTCAGGAGGTCTCCCCTTTCCCACCTCCCACCTCTGAGATGGAAGTATTTCCATGGGTCTGCCTTATGTTTTTATTCCTCACCCTCTATAGCATCCTAATCATTCGTATCACACTTAGCTCACCTTCTGGGCTCTTCCTCGAGGATCAAGGCCCTTATTAAACACCCTCTCTCCCCCCTCCTCTTACCCCTCTGCCTTCACATTTGTCCAGGAGGCTCCTGACATTCAATATGTGATTTCAAAGCAAATGAATGGATATCCAACAGCTTTGATTTAATATACTCGACCTTTTCATTGTTAATAAGTAATACCAATAGTACATGAAAAGGAGATTTAAACAAAATCTTGGGAGGTCCCCTCTAGTTCTGAGATCGATGCACTGTGCCCTGCACCCCTCCCCACTTCAGAGGACCCGCACCCGCCCTCGGCGCGTGGCCAGGCTCTCTGCCGGCATCTCCCAGCCCTGACTCCTGGGCTCAAACAGTGCGGTGTCGGACCCTCCGCTCCACCACAAAAGGCCACGCTCTGGGCTCTGCTGTGCCAGGGCCCGGCCAGGTGGCTGGCTGGCTAATCTGCTCCACCTGTGCAGAGGAAGGAGTTCCTGCCCGGCAGCATCTCCCCTCTGAGACAGCAGATGCACTGACTGGACAGGTGAATGCCACAGTATCGGGGGGCATCTCAAGAGCCCATGGCCCAGCGCGGAGATGTTGGTCAGATGTGCTCTGGGCACAGTTATTTCATAAGCCGCAGGGCATATTTATTCCAAATGGGTCAAGATAAGGCCGTCTGATTTCCATCTTCCAAGAAGGATATAACCAGGAGTATTTGTTAATTCATTAGATCAATTTAACTGTCCAAACAAAGAGCACTAAAGACGAAGGCATTTTATTTTTTGAGAAAGAAACTTCTTGAAAAAGTAAGTTCTTATAATACAAGTCTAATTTGTTTCAAAGGAACGGTGTTCTCTCTGCTTCGAGAAGTGATCAATGCTCGAAGGAGTTTCTGCATAACAGACTAGACACCCCACCCCCTGGCAGGTCTTATTTATTTCCTTGCAGCACTGAGAACTGACGCTTGGGGGACAGAAGACTGCCCCCCACGGGCCATGTCAGCAAGTGAGGAACTGAAACCATGACAGCAGCGAAACGGGTCTCCAAGCACACATTGTTCCTTCCCTCAACGGGGAAAGGACTGTATACGCTGCAGCGGAGGACTGTAGCCGCCAAGCCTCTCAGGAAAAGACTGGGCAGGAAGTTTCTGCCGCTGTTTCATTCTCCCACGCTGGCCCTCCCTTCCTTCCCCTGGCCCTGGCCTCGCCCGGGCCCAGCATCCTTGGCAGGCGTAAGCACACGGTCCGTCCAGCGAACCCGGACAATGAATAGCCAGTCACAGTTACGGGAAACAAGTGCATCAGATCTAACCCCTGCTCCCCCCCAGACCAACTCCATTAGAACATCAGCAAATCTTTGGAAGTTATCCAGATGCTAACTAGCTTCTTGAAAGCATATGGCAAACGAGAGATTTTAAAGTCTGTGGCTCTCACATTAAATGTCTCCAAGACTCCATGTGAACACCAGTGTACCATGCAATTAACAGTCATTTTAAAAATCGCTTTTGTAAACGTGCCTGGAGTATAAAATCACAGGCTATAAACTATGATTCTAGTATAAGTCTGAAGGTCTTTCCACAGGTGTCTTCTACGGCCTGAGGGGCCAGGTGGCAGAAGACCAGGAACACGGGATCAGCAACCCCGCTTCCAGACTCTCCCCGTGACTGCCTGCGCCCTCCCAGCCTGCCCGCCGCTGCCAAGTCAGTGAAGGCACGTCCCTCGGGTCCTTTTCAGGTCTCACAGGCTGTATTCGTCTAAGTAATATCACTATGTTGCTATAACGAGTCAACCCCAGGGGCTGAGTGACTTCAGCCAACAAAGGTTTCTTTCTTTCTCACGCAAAGTCCCTTGCTGGCCATCGGAAGCCCTCTTCCATCCAGTGTGTCAGGGATCAGGCTCCCTCCACGTGTGCGCCGTGTCTCAAGACAGGCCTCCACGGTCCCCACGGCGGGACTTTCACCCGGATTGCTGGAACTGCCTCCGCCTGGTCTCCCCGCTGTTTCTCCAGCCGCTGCCCCACAGAGCAGCCAGGCTGGTCCTGTGACACTCCTGGGCTCAGAACTCTCAGCTCAGATTTTATAATAGCTATACTACAAAAGTGAAAAGAAATTTTAAAAATTAATTTTAATGTTTTTCTTTAACCTCGTATATCCAGAATATCGGCATTTCAAAATGTAATCAATATAAAGATGATCAATAAGCTAGTTCACATTTTTTTAGTGAAATCGGTTACACGTACAGCGCCTCTCGGTTCAGACTCGCCCCGGGACGAGCGCTCGGAGCCACGCCTGGCCGGGGCTTCGGTGTGGTCAGCGCGGCTCAGGAATGTCAGCTCCGCGGGGCAAAGGCTTGCTTTGCTACGGCTATATGTATGCCCAACAGCTAGAACAGTACCTGGTACGTGGTTTTTAAATCAACAGATGTCTTATCTTCCATCTAACGAGCATGTATGGGATGAGCAGAAGTAGGCTTACAGGTGTTTGTATGGAAAAATATATAAAACAGGAATAAAAAACACAAGAATAAACTCTGGAGGGACCTGGAGAGAATTAGGCTACGTGAAAGAAGCCAGTCGGGGAAAGACAAGTACCAGATCATTTCATGTACATGTGAAATCTAACAAACAAAATAAACTGACGAACAAAATAGATCCAGAGCCCTGGCCGGTTTGGCTCAGCAGTTAGAGCATCCGCCTGCGGTCCGGAGAGACCCGGGTTCGGTTCCCGCTGGGGGCACGTACCTCGGTTGCAGTTTGTCCCCAGCCCTGGTTGGTCGTGCGGGTGGCAGCCACTCGATGTGTCCCTTTCACATCAATGTTTCCCTCTCTCTCTCTTCCTCTCTCTCCCTCCCACTCTGTCTGTACCAAAAAAAATGGAAAAATGTCCTCGGATGAGGATGAAAAAAAAAAAAATAGATCCAGAGACATGGAAGCATAGAACAGACCGACAAACCTCAGAGGGAAGGGGGGAGGGGGAAGAGATGAACCAAAGAACTTTTATGTGCAACCAATGGACATAGACAATAGTGTGGTGGGGGTGGGGGATGGGAATGAGGAGGAGGGGGTCCATGGGGGGGGGGAAATGGGGAACATCTGTAGTACTTTCAACAATGAAGATAAATTACAAAAAAATAATAAACTCTCTGTTTCACATACTCACAGATGTAAACCTGCTTTGGCCCACCCCTATATTGAATACGTGCAATATGGAAGGAAAAAACACGGTGGAAATAAACAAGATTACACCAGTGTGGCTTGCTGTCCGGTCAAAGAGGTGCTGTTGTAGAGGAACAGAAAGTCCAAGGCAGCCGAAGGAAAAGGAAACCAAGCCGTGTCGGTGGGAACAGAGTGGGCAAGGGCATGATGAGCGCCGAGATGGGGCACAACCCGGGTGTCGGCAGCTCCGGGGGAGCGGAGGCAGGAGGGCCATGAAGATTCCTGCATGGATGCAAAGCGGTGCGAGCCAGACTGGGGGAGGCCAGGGAGAGACGGCCAGGAGCCAGAGTTCACAGGGCCCAGCCCTGCCCTGCGTGGAAACCAAATCGGGACAGGACTTACAAAGACTGAGGTTTGTGGTCACTTTGTAAGTTATCTAAATGTCTAACCACTGTGTTGTACACCTGAAACTAATATAATAGCGTGTGTCGCCTGTAACGGAAAACACCCTTTGAGAAAGACGGAGCTGGAGCTCGGCGGCCAAGGAGGCAGCGGTGCCACGGCAAAGCTCCGACTCTCGAGGGAGAACAGACCTGGGCGAGAGGAGCCCATGGGGACCTACCTGCCCTCTGGTTCTGACACACTAGGCCCAACACGCGATCTCACGTCCATCACTCTGACTTCTTCACTCCGCCCAGCTGAGCAGCAAGAGTATTTCCAAGAACATTCCACAAGGACATATCACTGCACGAGTCAGAAGACCCCGCCCCTCCGGGCCTCAGTTTCCCCCTCTGTAAAATGAGGAAGGTGGTACTGGGCCAGATGATCCCATCCCACCCTGATGGTCATTTCTGTACCAGGTCTTCCAAGCTCTTTCCCTGTGCTGTTCGTCTGTGCCGCGGGAGGGGGCGTTCTAACAGAAGACCGTCCAGGTGTGAATGCCATTCCTCCCGCGTTCTAACAGAAGACCGTCCAGGTATGAATGCCATTCCTCCCGCGTTCTAACAGAAGACCGTCCAGGTGTGAATGCCATTCTCCCAAGAACTGTTCACATAACACTGGTTAGTTTTCAACAGTACCTGCCCACGGGAAGACTCCAGCCAGGAGCAAGCTCAAAGCAGCCACCGTCATCAAAAACTCCGCCAATCGACAGCTAGTAAGTGACGGGGTGAGCAGCCCAAACAAAACCTTGGTTGGGAGTGTGCGCAGTCCTATTTCTTAACTGACATGGTGATGCCCAGCACTGAAGCTGGCAGGCCTTTCGACAACGGGAAGGGTATATTCTTAAGCACGTGTGTGTGTTTCCATGACATAAAGACGCCTGAACTCAGAGCCGGTAGCAAGGAACATTCCCGGGAAACCTGTTTCCACTTGCCCACATAGGGCTCACTGCACTCGGAAGGCAATAGAAGCAGCTCACCTTAGCCGTTCTTCCTCTTTTTTTCGAAGATTGAAGTCTCGCTGAACCACCTGGAGAACGTGCTCTGTTTCATCATCGGTCAGACCAGACAGGTCCAGCTTCCTCCCCATGATTTAATGCCAAACGCAGACGGTGAAACAAGACCTGAGGAATCAAGGAAAGGCCACGCGTTGAGGGCAAGATGTAAACTATCGATGGATAAGGTCAACCGATCTTGTGATTAAACCAAATTAACACAGTGTTTATATAAGGCAGTATCCTGATGTGCTCTCCTGCTCAGCAAACATCTGCAGATGACTTCAGCAAAGCCGCAGAGAGAAGGAAACCGTAATGGTCATCTGCCACATTCATTCGTCTTAAATTAGACACAAATAAGTTATTCTCTTTGACAAAATGAAGATACATGAGACCTAGTGTGAATTTCCATGAAACACCAAGAGGTGATATCCAAAAGTTCTAAATTTCTATGGTTTGAAGTTTTAAACTCTAAGTATTCTATGTGATTGCAAATAAAATAAGTTATACTACTTTAAAAATCCTAAATACACTATATATCCTTGAACTTTTCATCACGTGATTACAAAATATAAACTAGAAATCAATAAACTCTCTTTTGCAAAAGATAAAAAATATACTAATTTTATTTGGCCATTTTTCAGTAGTAGAAAAGAAAGTATTTCAAAGAAACACTTCCCAGCAGTATGTACATAATAATTATGGGAAACAATATTTCTAAAAATCATTTTTAACGAACGGCTGCACCCAGGGATGAAATCAAATAGGTAATTCTAGCAAATCACCCAGAACTGAAGCCATCATATACAGAAATGCAAACATCCTCAGCAAAATATTAGTGGAACCAATCCACCAAGATTTCAAAAGAATTAATATATACCATGACCAAGTAGGCTTTATCTAAGGTTGGTTCAGCATTAAAAAAATCAATCAGTGCAATTCAGCGCATTAACAGAATAAAAGGGAAAAAAATCATAATCACTTCAATAGATATAGAAAAAGCATCTGACGAAATTCATTACCCATTGATAATAGAATCTCTCTGCAAACATAGACTAAAGAAAACTTCCTCAATCATATAAAGATCATTTAAAAAAAAACACAAAATCTACAATTAGTATCATATTCAATGAGAAAAGACAATGCTTTCCCCTAAGAGCAGGAAAAGGGAGAGAAATGTGCACTCTCACAACCTCTACTCAATACTGGATGTGTTTACTATAAAGCTACATTAATCAAGACAGAGTGGCATTGGCATGTGTGCAGGTATATTGGTTTGCTAGGGCTGTTACCACAGACTGGGTGTCTTGAACAACAGAAATTTATTTTCTCACAGTTCTGAAAGCTAGAAATCTGGGGTCAAGATGTTGGCAGGACCGGTTTCTTCTGAAGCCTCTCTCCTTGGCTTATAGGTGGGCATTCTCCCTGCGTCTTCATCTGGTCTTCTCTCTGTACGTGTCTGTGTCTAAATTTCTTCTTCTAAAAGTATCAGTCATACTGGATTAGGGTCTACTCTAACCTCATTTCAACTGAAATGCCTCTTTAAATATTCTATCTCCAAATACAATCGCAATCTGAAGTAGTGGGATTAGGACTTTAACATATGGATTTTGGGGGCCACCCAACATAGCCCATAACACTCCATTTTTGCCTCCCCCCCTAATTCACATCCTTCGCACATGCAAAATACATTCACCCCATCCCAACAGCCACAAAAGTCTTACCCTATACCAGCATCAATTCAAAGTCCAAAATCTCATCTAAATTAAATATAGGGGAGTCTTGAGCCATGATTCATTTAAGGAAAATTCTTTTCCAGTGGTGAGCCTATGAAAACAGGTAAGAAGTGATCTGCTTCCAAAATGCAATAGGTGGGACAGCACTGAACACACACTCCCATTCTAGATGGGAGAAATTGGAAAGAAGAAAGGGGTATTGGGTCTCAAGCAAGCCTGAAGGCAAAGCAAGTCCTCTTTGGCTTCATGCTCTGTCTTCTGTGCCCACCAGATGGCCCTGCCTCCTGAGCCCACATGGGGTGGCTGTCCCATCCCCTTGGCCCTGGGTGTAGCCACAGTGGCTTGGCCTGCTGAAATCCAGCAGGTGGCCCCACCCTCTGTAAACGAGGAGGAGAGAACCACACCACCCCCAGGCCATGGTGGCGTGGCAGCCCTACAGAGCCCTGAATTGCTTTTAGGATCATTCTTCCCTTTTCTTGCAAAATAACACATTTGTAGCCAGATTGCTCTTTTGGCCCATCCTATAGAATCTCAGAAGCCCAACAGCCTGCCTTCACTTCATCCTGTCTCTATTTGGTCTAAGCTGGCAGTGTTTCTGTTCAAGTAAGTTCTCAAAAGCAACTTCCAAAGCAATTCACGGGGGGGCCAAGGCACCATACAAGAGGTTCCTCTGCAGATCTTTCCTGGGTAACTGAATCTCTATTCCTGGTTTCTGCTGACATGGTTGGTTGGATCCCTGAGTCACACGTACAATCTCTTTAGCAAGTGGTTGTCCAGCCACATCCTTGATGTTCTCTCCAGAGAGGCTTTCTCATTTTTTGCAATATGGATAGACTGAGAATTTTCCAAATCTTCATGTTCTGGTTGCTTTTTGCTTAACAAGTCCTCCTTCAATTTATCTCTCTGCTCTCACATTTTACTATAAGCAGTGAGGAGAAGCCAGACCGTGCCTTCAACACTTTATTTAGAAATCTCCTCAGCTAAATATTCAATTTCATCTCTCAAGTTCTACCTTCCACAAAACAGTAGAACACAACTTAGCCAAGTTCTTTGCCACTTTATACAAGGATTGCCTCTCCTCCAGATTCCAACACCAAACCCAGCTTTAACATTCGTACTTCTACCAACATGCTGTGTATGATGATATGATTTCTCTAAGTTGATAGACCCTTTCTCTACAGCTCTCCTTGTCTTCTTAAGCCCTCAGCATAATTACCTTTAACATCCATAGGGCCTTCAAGGTTATCTAGGCTTTTTGTAGCATGTTCCTCAAAGCTATCTAGCCTCTACCCATTACCCAGGGCCAAAGCCGCTTTCATGTCCTTATACAGAGGAAACTTATGCCATAGGAAAAGATGCTTAATTTCACTGGTAGTTACAGAATGGCACATTAAAACCACATTGCACACCCACCAAAAGAAAAAGTCCTCATCAAGTGTGGACAGAAGGTGGGAAAATGGAAACTCCCGTATAGTAGAAATGGGTAGAATGTCTCCGTAACACAATTAAGTGTCATTTTCGAAGCTGAAGATGCATCTACCCTACAAACGAGCGTTTCTGCCACACCAAGGTGTATTCCTCAGATATGATCTTGCAAACATGCACCAGTTGGGTTGAACTACATGAAATTTCTAAGTTTGTATTATTTTCACCTGCAAAAATGCCTATTTTACACAGTTCAATCTAGCACAAGAATATCAAGAGCAGTCACATTCAAAACAGCACAAATTAAACATCCTAAATGAAACCTAGAAATGACCTCAAACATCCATAAACAGGAAGAAGGATAAATAGTGTGTATTTGTTCCATACAATGGAATACTCTAGTGCAGTGAAAAAGAACATACTGTAGGTTTATTCATCATCATGGATGAGTCTTAAAAGCATAATGTGGAGACAGAAGAGAAGCATGCCACCCGCACCTACATGTACAGTATGCATACAGTATGATCCCTTTTATATGAAGCTCAAAAGCACAAAAAGCCAAAGAATATATACATTTTAGGAATAAATGTGGTACAACTATAAAGAACAAAAGGGGACCTCTGAGAGGACAGAGAGGATCTGATTGGGGACAATCATGTAGGGACTTGAGAACTATCAATGAAGTTCTGTCTCATTAGCAAGACAGTGGTACTGCTGTTGCTTATTATTATTATTTCTATCATTAAAACTTTCATATTACATGTACTTTTGTCTGTAAGGTATCTTTCAAAAGCATATAAAGTATAACAAACCCAACACTAAACAAAAACCATCTAATTTCAGTATAATTAAAGCAAAATATTTGACATTATGATGGAGACATGATAGTTAAAGCAAAAACAGGAAACGCCATTCAAGGAATATCTGAGAATGATAACAAAAATGGTGGTAATAATTTTGATCTACCATTATTGGCTGAACACCTACTATGTTCCAAATGCTCTAGCTGTGTGTGTGTGTGTGTGTGTGTGTGTGTGTGTGTGTGTGTGTGTGGAAGATCCCACAAGATCTATAGGCAATCACTGCGATCACTTCCATTGCCGCCACGTACATACGAGAAAACGCAGGCTCATGGTTACATTTCTGAGTGAGACAAACGGCAAATAACAGCTAGGGTCTGAGTGTGTCTCAGTCTGGCCCTCGGATTTTCAAACTTGAGGTCCAGAATTCCTGCCCCCTCTTTCTAGCATGTGACAGCAAGAACAGGAGATTCCATTCTTTGGTTGCTATTCAGATGAAGGTAATCTGCTGCTTTAGTCTGCAAATAAGGGCAATGATCCCAGAGAACAGAACAGTCTCAGTCCTGAAATGTCTTTAGTTAAGTAATTACAAGTCTCATGACGGTATGATGCAAACTAATCTCAAGATTTAACCAACAAATCACAACAAAAATCTCAACTATTAAAACTTTTTTTTATGCCAGTCATGCTATTTGTCAAAAGCAAATCTTTGGTTCACTTCGCCCAAGTGCTATGGGAGGTGGAGGTGGAGGGGGGGACAGGGAGAGAACCCAGTGCACCTGCTGGGCCACAGAAGTAAAGTAGAAGACTCCTCAGTGGTAAGAGGGAAGCTTCATAAATGATCATCTTCTAGTCTCTGAAGGGGAGGAAGGAACAGATTATAGGGCACAGTGAAAATGCAGGCTGACGTCTTCCTTAAAACACCCCCCTAACGGTGATGCTGGCACTTTGGAGTTTCCCAGAAGGTGGCACCTTCACTTTACTTGACTGGCGTTTGGCTTCTGAGAATTCTAAATGGGATTCTAAGATGCCCAGTTAGTAAAAGACTGAAGTGGCAGCTTTGATCACATCGAATCTAAGAGGACGAATCAGAGCCCAAGAGAGATGAGTGGTTTCTGTAAAGAAATAAACACAGCAGCTCTAAATGGACCAGTCAGAGAATAACGAG